ACAATGTTAACGTATTTCTTAGAGAAAATCTGAGGGTAGTTTTCAGCCATGGTTAATTGAATCACCACATTCCTTCCATAAAAAAGTCTCACTTTCCACTTTCCCACTAGTTTGAGATATTCAAAACTCTTTCTGATAACTTCCATAATGGGGTGCCCCAATTGAAATTTTTCGATGAGAGCGAACTTGCATTTCTCAGCCAAGGTTGAAATTTCTAAATCCGATAAAAAGAGAGTTGTTTTTCCACTCTTCCTACTTGCCTACTTAACAAATGAAAAGTCACCTGTACAATCACGACATTCCTTATAACTTGACTGGAAGGCAACAACCGACTCCACCACATTACTCCACCACATTGTTCCTCAGCATGTGGGCGAAGGAAGCTTTGCTTGGTTCAACCCAAGGAGGGAGCACACCCATCAAGGCGGAGACGGTCCGATGAGAGCAGACAAACATGAAAATGCAGTAGGCGAAAGCGCGGAACACCGCAGCAGGGAGCGAACGACGAATCCAACACAGGGCGGCAAGGATCGGGGCAGAGGGCTATTCTGGTTCAAGCATCGACGATGGAAGGGAACATGTGAATCAGTGGAAGTTGCTGGAAATCATCTCTCAACGAGCAAAGGCGACGAGGACAAAGAAGGAGAAAACCACAGCAACAAACGAAGCACAACGAAGACGACTAAGGATGAAACAAATGAAGTCAAGGCACGAACCCCTTCTTCTTTGAGCGCGACGAAACGAGAATCAGCCGAGCGGACGTCCGTGTTCGCCATGGTCAAGGCACGAACCCCTTCTTCTTTGAGCGCGACGAAACGAGAATCAGCCGAGCAGACGTCCGAGTTCGCCATGAGGCGATACTCTAGCAGAGCCTTCCATCATTTATATATATATATTTGTGTGTGTGTATTATTTAATTATTTAATACACACCCGCATATGTACATACAAACATATAACCATGATTACATCCAAAATGAGCTTCTTTGTCCTCACAGGGTTTTAGTGAGCTCTTGTCATGTGCCTTCTTCTCACATGCCATTGGTCCGTGTCAAAAACCTAGCGAACTCTTGTTTAGGCATAATCTTTTTCTTACATGACATTGTTCCCGTCAATTAGCGCCCTATCTGAAATCATCTTTTTCCTCCCACACCATGAGTTCGCAATGAGTCTCTAATGAGCTCGTCACCAAATTTTAAATACTAATATTGTGATGCCAGCTTCAACAAGCCTCTTCGATCTCGATTTGAATAATATTTGATGCTGGTTTTAACAAGGTCTAATCTATGGTTTGTATTTGAACTATATTAAGCCAAAGTCGTTCACAACAGACTTGAATAAATTGTTTGTGTCGAAAATAATATGGTCATTTTGTCCAAAACATACTTTTTTTCCTGTTCCCTTGGGTAAGTTTTAATCTTATGTTTTTACATTTTTTAATTATTATATATTGTTGAACAAAAATCTCAACTCTTATACAGAAACCAAAATAAGAAAAAAAAAATATTGCTTCAATATTTTTCATTGTTAGTTATTGGCTCTTATTATTAAAATTCATGCGATTCACATCATTAATAGAAAGAGAAAAATGAAAATCATTGACTTCACTCTATAATCTTCCTGCATTTATTTTATTCTCTCTTTTAAAGTTATGGAAAATTTGGTCATTGATTTGTTGAATGCCGAGAATATTTTTGAAAATTATTCTAGAGATATATTTTAGAAAAAAATTATGGAATGAGAAGAATAATTCTTATTTGGTGCGAGGATGGACTGCCTATAAACACATACATGTAAAGCTTTCTTGTTGAAGCGAAATCAAAAACCAGTTTCTTCATCTTTTTTCTTCGAGTCTCATCTCTTTCAAACTGTTATCGTCTTTTTGATCACTACAGGTGCATCATCTCTTTAAACCATGATACTAAGTTGTCAACTAATAATTGTCTTGACCTATGCTGTCGTTGTTACTTTGTTTCAAACTTGAATTTTATGTAATTGTTTTCATTAATGCGATGATACTGCTTTCTGATTGTATGTTTTTGTTCTGCATGTTTGTCACATCCCGACCCGGGGTTTGGAGTTAACCAAAACGGGAACAGACGATTGAACATTGAAAATCAGTTCTTTGCTATTCTAGTTCTATTACTAAAAATTTAATATTTAAATAATACATGAAAGAGCCACTAAAGAAAATAATTAAAATAAATATGTTAAAATTTGTATATTTCTTGTTGTTGTTCTTACCTTCTATATACATTTGCTTCTCTTCTTTTCATCTTGCTTAAATGTTTAAAACATAAAAATAGTATTAAAACAACATTGTGAGTTATCTGAAAATAACTTCGGAGTAATCACACTACTAAACTATAGTAATTCAAGGAAAAAATTACAATATGTATGCATCTTTAAAAGTTGTATAATATGATGAAGTTTCATATTTATTTATAAAAAAATTGATACATGTTTATATGCAATATGATATATATATTTATAAGAAATTTGATACATGCTCATGTTTGTATCAATGATTTTTTCTAAATGAACATACTCAATCTTCTATAAACATTACTTTAAGTTTATATACACATTTGTTTCTACGAGGAGCACTCTCAACAAATCTAACACACCGTTGGCCTTTATTGCCGGCACAGCGGTTAGCGATTTATACATCGCAATTATCTATGATGGATAGACCTTTACGTGCCCTTGACCGATATTATCTCATCGACGCAGCGGTTAGCAATGTAAAAAATATAATTTTTTGGTGCCATAAGCTCTGGTCTACTTGCCTCTGACTGAGTTTATCTGGTCGGCACAACGGTTAGTGATGGAACCATCACAATTGTTTGGGGTGGTATAAAAATTCAAAGTGCGTGGGTACACTGGTGCCCCTTGCCTATACCATTAGAGATGGAATCCTTTTTTGAACATGAACATATAAGTATTCATATATAAGTTATTGCATTCTTCATCTATACATTATTTTGAGACATCTTTATGCATCTACTAAAATATATATTTATTATTCGGTGTAACTTTTCAACAAACATCACTTTCATATCATTCTTTTATTTATCTCATACATATCTTTTATTTATATCATATATATATTTCTTACATGCCTATCTTAAATGTCTATCTTACATCTAATGTCTATTTAAATATCATTCATCTCATGCGTATCTTTCACGCATGCACTTCTTTTTCTATTATGCTGATCATGCATATCCATCCTTTCAATTTGAAAAATCTGAAAAAACTAGAACACATATGAAGTTAAAAAAATAATCTGAAATAAAAAAAATTGCTTGTGTTTTGAAATGCAATTACTCACCTCTGTTGACATGCTAAACTCTTCATCTTCGATAGTTAGACAGAGATTGTGGTGAATTTTATGTTGAGTTTAATAACCTTAAAGACATAATATTAAAATTTAAAACTCAAATACTTTTTGTTAATCAAATTAATCTTCTTAACTTAGTCCTAATTTATCTGAAAGTCACAGGGTTCTTTGACAGTGAATGTCCACACTCGCCTCGAGTCTGCTGCCCCGATAAATAACCTAGAATCCACAGTTAACTTTATATTTAAAGATATTTTAGTTAAAAAAAGTAATTTAATTGAAGAATATAACTTAAACAGCCTTGTCGGCAACCAGCTATTCTCCAAAGCGTCCAAATCTTCTTCTCCATTCTTCTTTGGTCGCTGAATTCTTGTTAGAGTACCTCACGGAGCTTGCAAACCACATTCGACACTTTCAGCATAAGATTGGCGCCTCCGACAACTACTTGAAGCGAAAAAGGCATGAAAAGCGAGGCAAAAGTCAAAATTGAAGGGTGAGAAAGAAATTGAAGCTTAAAATGACAAGAGAGAGGAATTGGTACCCTTGGATTTCACTCCGGAACCCTGAATAGTAAGTTGCACCAAACTAGGTGCCATCGGTTCGTCTGCGACCCGCGGTTACTTTCACCCTTGCACTGTAGCCAGGGTCGTTGCCCCAAAGTGCCGTGCACGAACCGAACAGGGAGAGAGGAGGTTTGGAGAGGAAAATAGGGATAGAGAAAAATTTTTTTTGCTTGCTTCTGCCCTATTCAACGAACGAAGGAATAAAAGGCGAAGGAATCTCGTTTGGCCACAGTGAAAGCTGCGAATTAACGACGATTAGTAATTATTTTACCTTAATTAATTTAATATAACTTATAATTCTAAATTTTATATCTTTCATTCTATTCATAATTAACATATAGTGCTTTATATTAAATTGCTCGGTTTAACACGTAAAATGTTATAAAATTGTTTGGACTTAAATCTGAGGGTTGCAAAATTGTGGTACAATTTAAGTCGCCAAAAATTTTCTCCGTTTTCGCCAAAAATTATGTACAATTTAAGTCGCCAAAAATTTTCTCCGTTTTCTCAAAAATTGATTATTACAATGTCAGCTTTTACGTTTTCGCCAAAAATTATTCTCTCCAGTTTAATAGTTGAGCTTTTTTGTTCTTTCATTTCATTTTTTCTCTTCTGATTCTTTTTTTTTTTAATTTTTATTTGACAAGAAGGAATGGAGAAGAAAATAGTTGGCATAAATGGATCTGTAATAAAGAACTAGAAGATCAGGAAATAAATATATGAGTAAATGTAAAAGCAGATTGCTATTGCATAAATGGTGTCTGGTGTATCTTGTGGTTCTGGAATAAAAAACTAAGATGCTGAAAACAAAATAAGTGTCTGGACAACATAAAATTAGTTGGTTTCAAGTCTTAATATTCTCATGTTAGTGTAAAACTTAAGTAAAAAGAGTTCTCATATAAAAATGATTCCAAGAAGTTATGCTGCATGAAAGTTCAAAATATTATATCATTTATGACAGCTGAATGAAACCGAATGATGTGTTTGATTCGGCTAGTATGACTTACAACTAACAATTAATCAATCTCAGCCTTTTCTTTTGATGGTGGAATGGAGACCACTCTGATATCTGTTTTTTTTGTTATTATGTTTTAGTGGGAAGCAATCCTATGGCCTGCGTAATTCTCATTCAGTTCTTCTAGAGGTACCGTTCACAATTATTTACTACATTTTATTGATTATTTTTTGAAGTTTGTTGATACCAGAACTACGTGAAAATGGTTCAAAATTGGACATGAAAGTATTACTGTACCAACTGTAACATTACAGTTCTGAGGAAAGGCTTAAGTTTAACAGTTAATTGTTTGTCTTCATCTTCTTTAGCGGTATTGTTAACTGGTTTTTTTAGTATTTTGTGATTTACTATCTGGCTGTTTAGACTAATCATACATTTCATATGAGAATTTACTATATTTTCCTTATGGCAAATCATAATTATTTTTATGCTCCATCTCTTTTTTCCCTTCTTCCATCTTCAAGCAAAGAACTACCAATCAATATTGTTCTGGTAGCTAGACACGATCAAAATTCATTTCATCTTTTCCTTATATTCTGGAACACGACTAGTTTGTGGTTTTCGACATTGACTTTTGATTCATATGATGCTATAATATAGGGAAATAATGGAACTTAATAATCTTTATTGAACATAGTAAACCATGTTCTTGATGACTTGCTCATAACCTTTTTTTTTTTGTTGACAATGTAAGATTTGTTTAGGTGACGAATATCCATAATATTGGGAATTTTGCAGGCTGACCTATTGTTCATTCGGTTAAAAAGATTGTGTAAAACATCAATGACATTTTTAGCGTCATCATGTATCTACCATTTAAGTTGTTATACTTTTCAGAACAACCATCTTTAAATTTTTAATTGTCACCTTCTTTATTCTTCGTCTGTTAGAGATATCATTTTTTCCTTTATTGTTCACTCATTCATGTTGTGCGTCTTGTTTTGCACGTATAATTATATCCTTATGTTTCCGTTAATTATTATAAACACTTTTTATGTTCTTTATTATGATATTTTCATCACTGAACCACATTTTCATCCTTTCAGTCTGAGAAATTATTCATGCTATTTTAGTTAAATTGTCTTTGGTTTGTTTGTATACTTTTGAGAGAATTTGTGCCTTACCGTGCCTAAAAAATTTATTATGGCACTAGATATATGATGTTTCAATCGTTACTGAGCGGTTACCCTGTAAAATCCATTTATTAGTTCCCAAAATACTGCGTGCTGTTTGCATGAATTGGCAACACTGTGAGGGTGATGTGTAAATAGAATATAAGTATGTATATATACATACATTCATACATACATACATTAAACTCAGTGTTGTTAAATTCTTTAGACTTAATCATAAAAATAGTTGTTGCAGTATGGGGGAAATGATTTAGAATTCAGTGCAACGTTTTCTGCTGGGGATTATATGTCTATGGAATCTGATTTAGCTACGTCTATTTCTTGCACAACTATCTTGACATATCTTTACTTCTTTCATATCTTGTGAAGTGATTTTTTCCTTTTGTATCTGAAATATTCTGCTACTCTCCTCTTACAGACTATTATGGACCATGAGAACATCACGATTGAAAAGCATTCTATTATGGAAAATAAGAACTAAAATTTAAATTTTAGTGAAACTAGAGAACCAATAACAACGAGAAAAACAAATATTATTACTGAAATCAAATAGGAACTTACAACCAAATAAATGGAAATATGAATTTGCAATATACTGGTAATGAAATACGCGACTAGTGCGAATGTAAGGTGGAAAGGCAGTGGCATGATGTGGGATGGCGGGGAAACAATAGTTGCTTTGTCCTGGCCACAGCAAGCAGGAAGGGGCGGCTGAACGGCAGCGGAAAACAGTGGAAGACAGCGGCAACTTGCTGTCCCAGGGCAGCAGCAAGTAGGAATGGTGGTTGGAACAATGGCCAGGGTAGTGAGGCTGTTTGGGGGCATTTAGGACAGCAGCAAGGTTGCCGGAAATACGGCTCTGCACGGTACAAACTGCAGCATGGCGGTGGTAGCAAGGGAGGGTTGGTTGGAAGCGATGTGGGGAGAACATAGAAGGGAAGAGCAGCTTGGAAGGGGAAAACTGCAAAGAAAGCAGCGAGGACAGCTGTTCTGCGGCTGTAGCAAGGCCGGGCAATAGTGAGCGATGCCGGAAGGATGGGGAAGGGTGGGGGAAGGATAATCACTATCTTGGGAGTGAGATATAGTTGGAGCACCACTCGACACTTGGATTCAACTCTTGATAGGAAAACAGAGATGCCGATGATAGTCCCAAACAAACACTTGACAAAGAAGTCCCCTAAAACACAACGAAAGTAACATAAATAATTCTAGGGTAAATAGGAGTGGACCCAACTCACAATAGGATTGAATTTCTTTCATGGAAGGACTAGTCAATCCCTCCTCTGATTGGACGGAATTGGTCTAGACACAACAATTGCCGTGCCAAGGGCACCACATCGGACACCCCACATGTATACCCAATTTTGTTAAACTAGGTAACATTTTTGACAATTTAAAATAGATCTAAATTTCTGCATTCAGCAAAATTTAACCAAAATATTTTTATAAAATTCTACACTTTGAATCAATCAATTTGATATATAGCACTATATGTGATGACGCGGGGCTCGGGAGAGGACCGGCTGGTCCTCAAGGAAAGGTGGCTACCACCACTCCTTCCTCTTCCCTCCTTTCCTTTTTCCCTCTTTTCCCTTTTTCCTCCTTTCTTTTTTCCTTTCTTTCTTTCTTTTGTTATAGCATTTTTCTATTTCAAGTCTTTTTGTAAAATCTCATATCCTGATTAAATTTTTTTCTCCCTTCTTATTTAAAAATGTTTCTTATTTTAAATCCCTTTCTAAAATCTGAAAACGTGATTATATTTTATATTATTTTTATTACCTAAAATAAGTCCAGCCTCTTTTATAGATAGGGGGATGATGTGCTTAGAGTTGGGGGTCTTGTTTTTTATATCTGAACTCAGGTTTTAGCCTTGTTATTTTCCCTTTGAGGGTTGTATTTGACATCGAGGTAGTGCTCTGGCTGTTCCTCGTTCGAGGTGATAATCATCTCCACGTGTCCCGGTGGTGCTCTGAATGTGGCTTGAACCAATCAAAATATATATTTATTTTTCCACCCTTCCCGTTGTTGTAAACTTACCTCTCAGCAGGTCTTCACCTTGTTGTCATCCCGCAGAACTCCACTTCCGTCGCTGTTTTTTGCGTCGACATCTTTCCAGCGCACCATCCAGCTCTAGCTATACGGTTTTTACCAGCAGCCATCCTGCTCTTCTCAGCAGTCGTCTATCAACTAACAGGCCACCACTTTGCTGTCTTCCTGCAAGATTCATCTCTTGTTGTTGTTCTTCGCATCAACCCCTTCCAATGCACCATCCAACTCTTCCCAAATACCTCCTACCTCCCAACAGACTTCCAGCTTGCTGTCATCCAACAGAACTCTTCTTCCGTCGTTGTCCTTTGCGTCGACATCCTTCCAGCGCACAATCCTGGTCTTCCCTGCAGCCATATGACTCTTTTCTGCAGTCGTCTTACTCTCCCTAGCAGCTGCATTCCACCCAGTAGACCATCACCTTGCCGTCTTCCAACAGGACTCCTCTCGCGTTGCTACTCTTTGCGTCAACCTCTTTCCTGTCAACGCTCCGGCCTTTATCACAGCCGCTAGCCTTGCACCACCACATAGACTCCCCCCTCGACAGCCCCCTCGACAAGTTTTTTGTGTCTTTATTATTATGGAGTTTTTGTATTTTTGCTTTGTGGGGCTATTTTCTTTTTCTTTTGAGCCTTTATTGTATCATCGTTTTAATTTAGTAATGATATTTGTCATCTTGCATTGTGGTTTAGGTCAATTCCGGTATCATTTGGTTTCAAAGCTAGCCTAACCCTGGTCTCATCCTATGGTTTCTAGTATCGGCTTCTACCCATTCCACCACACCAAATTTTTTTCTTTCGTTCGTTTATCTTTTATCTTCTTTTTTTGTTCCTTTTCTTTCTTTCCATAGATCCTAAACCGTCAAACATGCCACTAAGAAGAAATATGCTTGGGCTCACCCGAGAAGAGAGACTACGAGAACTCCGTTGCATCCAACAAAGAATTGCTGATATTGAAGAGATGACACAGGAAGAAGTTACCTTCGGCCAAGACCTTGAGAGTCGAAAGCCAGAGAGAGAAGAGGATCTGAATCCCTTCCATAGTGATAATTTCAACGATGAAGTGGAGATGAACTATCAGAATTATATGAAGATGCAGAAGAGGAATACAAAAGAATATGTAAATCACTCATAAGGATCCAATAAGAAGAATTTTAGGAATAATTCAGGTGGCGTTAGAAGAGGTATGACTCAGGGTATTGGAGTCACTTGTGCCAAATACGGAAGACAACATAAAGATGATTGCTTGATGGGCTTGCTATTGGTGTTGTCAGTCTAATCTTATAGCAAGATATTGTCCATCTCTTGGCTAGAAAAGCACTGAAGATCAGAAATTCGGTGGAGCTCCTTCACATATGTTTGCAGGTGGACAGAAAAAGATAGTCTATAGCTTCAACATCGACCCAAGGCAATCAAGACAATCTGTTCGACCTCGAGTATATTCTCTTACTCATAGTGAGCCTGAAGAACCTACTGCTGCTAATGGTGATGAGGTCTGATTAGTTTGGCGCTTTTTAGTATGTTTTCGTGTTCAATTAACTATGTGTTCAGAAATATATTTGTCACCTTGTATCAAATCTTTACTTTTATAATGATTATCCTTCATCTTAATTAATTACCCCAATTTCTATCGTAGAACTTTTAAATAGCTAGTGTAGACGTGTTAATGAGTAATAACTTGAGGTATGTTTATAAATTTCGAGGACGAAATTTTTGTAAGTGGGGAAGATTGTAATAGTCCTAGTTTAGTTACATAGGGGAGAAGAATTGAGGAAGAAACAAACAAACACAAGAAGAAATGAAGAAGCGATGAAGTCGAAGTGAAGGGTCGGGCAGTTGAACAATAGCTGAGGAAGTGAGTGGAGGTCAGGATGTCAGAGAGGCAATTTCGTCTTTTTAAGTTGTTGACCGACTTAACTATTAGACGTGCAACATGTGAATGAAAGGAGAA